TGTTTGTTTCTTTGTTTGCTGTTCGATAAAAAGTACCAAATTGGCAAATGAATGCCTGCTTCTTCAATTAGATTATTTTGACGAGCACCTGATTTCATCACGATGCCTCACATAATTTTCGGAACTGGGTGTGCCGGGCTCGTCTTCAAGAACAGACCCCCCCCCCCCCCTCTTTCCAAATGACCAAGAGGAAACATAATAATATGTTTACTACATAATAATAATAATAATAATAATAATAGATAGCATTTGTATAGCGCATATCCCCGCTCAACAGCTGGCTCTATGCGCTTTACACTATATTATTACCCCAGCAGACCATAGAACACCCCGAAACATTCTCAGCTTCCCGGGAAGCATACAGTGCGAGCAGCCGATTAAGCGCTCAAACACTAACAAACTGACAAGATCTTTCAATACAAAGAAGTCGGTGGATCTGGGGGGGGGGGGAGGGGGTATGAGCCTTTGATTGCATTTTTGTCAACGATCCATGATCTAAGACCATCATGCTCTCTTCTGAACGCTCTCTTCAATTCCTGGGAAACAATGGACATGTTATGTTTGCTGACGGTACCTGTAAAGTTTGCCCGAGACATTTTTACGTGATGTACATGTCGCATGCCTTCAGGAATAATATTCGTTCTATGTGCTGGGTTTTTTAAAAATTAGAAATTACGATACAAATTTTACGATAACCGTAAACCTAGCCTTAACCCAAGACCCTGACCCTCTATCTATTTCACAGTGATCATTCGTTATTTTTTTTAAAAAGTGTAATACCTGATAAAACACGCAACTGTAGGGATTTCATAACGAGCGACCACTGTGAAATAGATAGAGGGTCAGGGTCTTTGGTTAAGGCTGGGTTTTCGTTTATTGTTTGGGTTTGGGTATGAGTTCGAGTTAGATTTAGGGTAAGGTTAGGGTTAGGGTTAGAGTTAAAGTTGGGGTTAGGGTTAGGGTTAAGGGTAGGATTAGGGCTAGTGTTTGGGTTAGGATTAGGGTTAGGGTCAGGGTCAGGGTTAGTGTTAGAGTTAGGTCCCTCTTCATTGTGTTTGTTTTGGGTGGTCGCTCGTTGCGGAAGTCCTTCCCAAGCACCAATTATGAGAAGATGCTGCATCACCAGAAACAAATGTGCTCATCGCTAAACTTGACTATAGACTCTCGCTTTCTATATTTGGATTTTGCCTCATAAAGTTGTTTTATAACGGATAAGCGTATTAGAAGGGTCACAAGCCTTTTGAAAGGCAATACCATAGTTTGTTAAGCACACAAATCTTGCTTAAAAAACAGAGACATGCATTATACAAATGTTTATTATTTTCACTATTATTTTTTTTTCTGTGTTTTCTTTTTGTTGTTCTTAATGTTGTTATTATTATCATTATTATTATTATTATTATTATTATTATTATTATTATTATTATTAATATTATTATTATTATTATTATTATTATTATTATTATTATTATTATTATTATTATTGCCACTGTTAGTAGTAGTAGTAGTAGTAGTAGTAGTAGTAGTAGTAGTAGTAGTAGTAGTAGTAGTAGTAGTAGTAGTAGTAGTAGTAGTAGTAGTAGTAGTAGTAGTAGTAGTAGTAGTAGTAGTAGTAGTAGTAGTAGTAGTAGTAGTAGTAGTAGTCGTCGTCGTCGTCGTATTGTTATTATTATTATTATTATTATTATTATTATTATTATTATTATTATTATTATTATTATTATTATTATTGTTTTTATTATTATTATTATTATTATTATTATTATTATTATTATTATTATTATTATTATTATTATCAACATTATTATATCTCTCTTTCAGGCATCAATGATGCTGATGGGACTTAAATCCAGTTCATTATGGATATCATGGTCTTGACAAGCTGCTCTTCAAATTATGGCATCTTCATCTACTCGCGATTATGAGGGAAGATGCCCTTTTTTATTACCACCACTGCTAATATTTTTTAAGAGCTCGCTCTTTGAAACTAACTTTATAAAAACAAAAACGAAAGCCCCACAACACAGATGTAAGTCTTGATAGAAAGTGCGCGAAAGAACGCACCACAGACGTCCTTTCTCTCTCCATAGGTTAGTTTGTATTAAATGTTCTCTAGGGAAACTAAAAAACAGGGTGGA